CCAGTTCAGAGGAGCTGCTCAGATTAAGAAAGTGGAGTGCCTAGAGCAGGCCAACATCTTAAGCCTTCTAGCCCTGGCCCAGAGAATTTGGAAGGGCCGTTTAAAGAGCCCCAAGTCAATGCAAGCTTGTTTTTCAAAAGAGAAAGGCGAGGCTCTCAGAGAACTAAATTCCCAGAGCATGCCTGAAGGGCGTAGTAAGGGCCAGAAAGCAGGTAAGGACAGGACTGAGACTACAACCTAGTTGAAACTAGTGTTCTAGTGGGCTTCACCTGCTAGTCTTGCCTGCAGGCTCTGTTTGCACAAGGAAATCAACCCCAACAAACTTTCTGTTGGTACACGAGGCCAGTGCTCACGAGAATGCTCCTGTGTGGGGCCAGGCTGGCTGGATCCCAGAGCAGGATCTGTTCTCAGGAGTACTCACTCGCCCAGCCGTGCTCCTCTGGGCTTCGGGGCACAGAGACTGCTATTTGAACCTGATTCCTGACTACTGAGGCTGTCTCTTCAGGGCCTTCGGACAGGGAGTCTCTCCAGGAAATAAGCATCTGCCTTCGCTGTTTTTCCTTGGCCTGTAATATCATGCAAAGTAGCTACTTGTCTCCGGAGGTTTCAGGGCAGACAGAATCCTATTGGAACACCTCCTGATACCAAGGGGCAGGTACCCCCTGCGCACACCACAGAAAGGCCAGGTGATCCACATGGACCCTCCCAGGCCTGCAAAGCAGAGGAAGTCTCAAGTCCCACCTCTCAGCATCCCTCTGAAGCAAGCAAGATGTGGTTTATTCCTAGTCCTGGGGCAGGTACCTCCAGACTCAGAGCAGACAGACAAGATTACAGAGGGACAGACTAAGTGTTTGTTGGATGTTGAATGAATAAGAACAATCATAAGCACTTATATAGCATCTTTCCCATGCCAGGCACAAGTCTGAGTGTATTAATCTTCTCAGAAATCTATGGGATAAATGTTATCATCCTTATTTGACAGATTAGGAAATTATGACCCAGAGAGTTTAAGTTACTTGCCCAAGGCCACGCATTTGGTAATTGATTATTTGCCAAGATTCAAATCCAGTCTGTGTTTCTCATTGCTGGGCTTTGATGGGCATCAGGTTCCTGGCTGGGTGAGGCTAGACAGGAAGCAAGGACTAGTTCCCTTCTGAGGTGAGGTAGAGGCCGAGCCAGAGCCTATTGCATTGGTTGGGGCACTGTGGGTAAACACATTTTAAAGGGCAGCATTGTTTTTTGGATGTCCCATATAATAAAGAGGTAATATGCAAATTGATCATCATGTGCACCAGGTCTCTAGTAATTCCATAAAATAAAATCCACCCTTTGAATGTGTGCAATTCAGCCCTAGCTGGTTTTGCTCAGTGGTTGGAGTGTTGCCCACGGCCTGAAGGTTCTCAGGTTTGATTCTGATCAAGGGTACATACCTTGGTTGCAGGCTCAACCCCTGGCCCTGGTCGGGGCACGTGAGGGAGGTAACCAGTTGGTGTGTCTCTCTCACATTGATGTTTCTTTCTGTGTGTCTCTCCTCCTCCCTTCCACATTCTCTTAAAAAAATCAATGGAAAAATATATTCGGGTAAGGATTAACAACAACAACAAAAAAGTGTCCCATTCAGGGGTTTTAGTATATTCACAGAGTTGTGCAGTCATCACCATTCTCTAATGCTGGAACACTTCTATCAAAGGAAACCTGTACCCAGTAACAGTCACTCCCCATGCGCCCTCCTCACAGACCCCATCTGCTTTTTGTCTCTGTGGGTTGGCCCACCTGGGTATCCCACATAAATGCAATCACTCAATCTGAGGGCAAAAGCAACAGGCCTTTTCTAAATGTTTCACTCTTTTACTTTATCCTTGTTCCTGTGCAGGTTGTTTTGCCATAATTTAAACAAACATTGTGACAATTTATTAAAATTTTTCTTAAAATGTGCTCAGGGAAAGCAGATATTCCCCTTGCCTCTGTTTCTCTAACTTGGGACATTTGCAGCTGAGCTCAGGGCCCAAGGTTCATGCTAAGCTAAGAACAAAATCAAAGAATCAGAATGAGCAAGGCAGGGCTCTGAGGACTGAGGCAGAACAAGAGGCCACTAGGCAGTAGGAAGGCTGGGAGGCAGGGCTGGGATTGCCTTGCCCCAGACTGACTTCTGCTGGTTTTTAAACCCCACTTAGCTGGTTCACAGCACTCTGGGTCAGAATAGAGGTTTTTCACCAATCAGAAAGGATATATGCACCCCTATGTTCATAGTAGCACAATTTACCATAGCTAAGATTTGGAAACAGACTAAGTGCCCATCAGCTGATGAGTGGATTAAAAAAAAAAAAAAAAAATGTGGTACATCTACACAATGGAATACTACACTGCAGTAAAAAAAAAAAAAAAAAAAAAAAGGAATTCTTACCATTTGCAACAGCCTGGATAGAACTGGAGAGCATTATGCTAACTGAAATAAGCCAGTCAGAGAAAGATAAATATCACATGATCTCACTCTTTTGTGGAATATAATGAACAACATATACTGATGAACAAAAACAGATCCAGAGACAGAGAAGCATCGATCAGACCGTCAAACCTCAAAGGAAGATAGGGGAGGGTGGGGGTAAAGGGTAGAGATCAACCAAAGGACTTGTACGCTTGTATATAAGCCTAACCAATGGACACAGACATCAGGGAGGTAAGGGCATGAGTGGCAGGGTGGGAAGAGCAATGGGAATAAGGACACATATGTAATACTTTAATCAATAGAGAAAAAATATATAAAAATGGGGGGGGGAAGAATAGGATTTTTGTTGTTTATTTTATTTTGTTTTATTATACTTTATTTTATTTTATTGTCGACAGTATTACAGATGTCCCAAATTTCCCCCCTTTTATCCTCTTTCACCAAGTCCTCCCCCACCCCAGGCCTTCACCACACTATTGTCTGTGTTCATGGGCTATGCATGTGTGCATAAAAGTTCATTGGTTAACCTTTCCTGGTCTCCCTGCACCCCCTCTGAGATATGTCAGTCTGTTCCAAGCCTCTGAACCAATATTTTGCTAATCAGTTTATCATGTTCATTAGATTCCACATATATAAGTGAGATTGTGTCTTTCTCTGGCTTATTTCACTCTCCAGGTCCCTTCATGCTGTTTCAAAAGGTAAGAGATCCTTCTATTTTTTTACAGCTGCATAGTATTCCATCGTGTAAATGTACCACAGCTTTTAATGCTCCAAAGCCAAACAATAGACCCAAGCAACAGAATAGAAAAAGTAGAAACAGACTCTATGAAAATAAGTTTTTCAAAATAAAGGGCAAAAGATAGAGTCCCCCAATCCCACTGGTCACACACCTCCTTGGCATTCACTCATCCCAGCATTAGATGGTAACTTAAATGTTCAAAAACAAAAACAAAAAGTTCTTGGGTACCCCTTACCCATCTCCGCCTAATATTATTTCCTGGTACTTTGTCAAGACAGGGAAATCACCATTGGTGCATTACTATTAACTGGATTTAGATTTTATTTGGATTTCACCAGCTTTTTCATTAATGTCCTTATTCTGTTCCAGGACCCAATCCAGGAACCACATTTATTTGGTCATCATGTCTTCTTAGGCTTCTAAGGTTTATCACAGCTTCTCATTATTTTCCTTGTTTTTCATGACCTTAACTATCTTCAGGGGTACTGGTCAGATATTTGTACTGACTCTCAATTTTGATTTGTCCAGTTTTCTCTCATGATGGCACTTGGGCCACCTCAATAGGTTTTGTCTCAGTAAATCTAGGGTGTCCAGGAATCTAAATTTTTAAAATATATCCTACACAGTTCTAATGCAAATGATCAATATTTGAGAAATATTGTTAGTCACCAAAACAAACTGCAGGAAGATTAAAGGATTTAAAATGTTAAACATTAAAATTGCTTTTTGATATCAGGAAAAATAACAAAACATTAAACAAATCTATGGAAATGATACTTTTCTAATACTTGGAATATTAGTAGAAATCATAAATAAAGAGATTGACACATTTGATTTGATCATGTCAATTAACTTATAAAATAAAAATTATTTGTTTCAAATATGAATAGCAAAAGGTTAATATCTATAGAAAAGTCCTTCCAATGTAGTGGGAAAACATGAACTACCCACTAGCAATCTCATCAGTAGTAAGCAGATGTAAAGTAAAACAAGAACTATTTTATTCCCTCTAAATTAGCAAGGTTTAAAAAAAAAAAAAAAAAGACCTTGTGCTGTGAATTTGTGATGAAATTAGAACATTCCTTCATTGCTGGTGGCATTGTCAGTTTGTACAACAATTTCTTTGCAAAGCAACTTGATAACATACACCCACATGTACTGCTATTTGATAAAGACAAAGACTGCAGGCTCTCTTGAGAAAATATATATAATGTTCCATTGGAACAGTATGAATTATATAAAAAGATGTTATGTTTAGATTTGCATTAAAATGTTTACATTTAGACAAAAATGGAAAGAATATTTATGAAAATGAAATGTTTAAATTATTAAATATTTTCTATTCTTTGGTTGATTCTTCACATATTCCATCTAAATTATCTCAGTGGCCATCATTTCAAAAAATAAAGGCCCTTAAAAATCAAGAGTTTTTTCCATCAGGCCGCACGCCTGCTCCCTTCAGAGAATTTCATGGTTTGTCTGTTGGCATGTGTAGAATATTAAGCACAAGCCCAGCTTGATCATTGGCTGTGGCCCAAGGGCTTTTAAAAATCCCTTTGGCTTTCTTGGTAACAGAGATAGAAATAGGGAAATGAGTGGTATGTCTGAGTCATATTATGAATTTCCCTTTTCATGAAGAATCATTGGGATAAATAACTTTTTAAATTCCAAATAAATTCCATAAGCTGCCCTCCCTTCCTTCTTCCTTCCCCCATCTGGCCTACCCAGTGTTCTCCGTGTTTCCCTCCTATCGCCCCCATTTACAGTCATGCCCTGCTTTGGTGAGTTGATGAACAGGGGTGAGCATGGGGAGGTCAGCTTTCTGAGTTGTCTGTAACTCTGAAGCTGCCTTCTCCCCCTGACTGAGTACTCTCTGTGACTTGCAGAAAAGCCACAGTGTGGGCATCTGACCACAGTGGAGCCCAAGCCTATCTAAACTGGAGACCTTACATGCCTACACTCCTGTCAGTTGAACAAGTACCAATGATGCTATTAATTTGGAGGATGGGGAAGCATGTAAATGAAGCAATGTGGGATGGTTTTCTTTATGATTTGAAAGTATAATTAAAGCACCTCCCTGACTGTTTGATTACAGGGTAGACCCAAAAGGAATAGCTTTAAAATATTTCCTCTAGAATTGGTTGGGGGGTTTTTCCCTATACAAGATAAAGAATATTTTTACACATCTTTAATTAGTTTAGATACAAAAACTATTCAAGAAAGTTTGTCTCTAGGTTATTAAGATAAATTTATTGAGATTATTAGATTCTAACTAATTTCACCTCTCCCTACTTTTTAATTTTAACTTTTACTCTTCTCATGAAAGAATTCATTTGGCCTTGAACACTAGAAACACAAACTGTTTCCCTAAGGAACATAAATCTGTGAATTTCCTAATATTTCTAGTGTCATCCAAAAAAGTTTTAGGCTGTAATAAAGACTAAAAAGCCTTTATTTGAGCAAGAGAATTACAATCTGAGATGTAGATTCAGGTAGCAACCCAACTATGTTCTAGAGAGAAACAAAGAAAGGCAGGGGTTTTAAAGGCAAAAACCATTAAATGTAATTCTTTCATGCAAATGAAGGATTGCAGGCTAGGTTAACTGGGATTGGTTACTTCCAATATGCAAATGAAGAGGTGAAAATACAAGAAGGAAGTAAAATCCAAATGTGACCAGGTAGCAGTTATTGTCCAGGATAGTTATGGCTCAGCTTAGAGCTGAGTTTAGCAACTTAAGAGCAGCTCTGAGAACTGAGGCACAAGATGTACAGAGACCCTGCTTCCTTAGTAGCCTCCTGGCTCTGCTGTGACTCTCCTAGCAATGCTCATTCCATTCCATTTTCTCTATTTTCAGAAGAAAATGAAATAAAGCAGAGCTCCCTATTGGGGGGTCAGCGGTTTGTGGCCGAAGATCAACTCAACCTGTTAATATTCTTTTTCACCATGTCACACAATGCCATGGAGAGGACATAGACTCAGAACAGACCCTATGCCAACCCATGTCTTCCATTCCAGAAAGACAATAGGGCTGGGGGAAAGACAAATACTGGGGGCAACCCCTGTCCCAGGCACTCTCCGTTTACACAACCACAGCTGTCTCTCTTGGCACACTGGTTAAGAGTTATTTAACTCAGCTAGTTACAGAGTGTTTCTCAACTCCTTGAAGTCCAGTAAATATTAGCCAGTGAATTTCCTGAGATACTTTAAGGCAGATGTTTGTAAACTGAGGTCCATGGACAGAATGTAGGAGTCTATGACTGTGGATGGGAAATAAATTACACATTCACTTTTAATAATATCTGTGCTTTATCTCCAATAGAAATCCCCAATGTTTTCATCAGCACGTTTCATTGTTGCAAATATCTCAAACTATGTTATGCTCATCACTCCCTCACAAGTATGGTGGTTTCAGGTCTACCACTAAAGCTTGTTGTTCAATGCATCAGTGAAGAAGTACATTGCTATGGACTGAACGTTTGTGTCACCCTAAAATTAATGTTAAAGTCCTAGCCCTAATGTGATGGCAACAGGACTAATATACACATATAATATATTTTAAAACAATTTGATAACTTTGTCATAATTAGTTTCCTCTATAATCTTATGTATTCCCTTTCATGCATTTTAAAGTGTTATTCTAAGAATGGATCCACTGACTTCACCCTTTCCTAAGGAGACTAACATTCTTTTATGTCTTATTCATCCTCACCAAAGGATATTTTTTCCATTGATTTTTAGAGAGAGTAGAAGGAAGGAGGGAAAGAGAGGGGGGAAAAATCCATGTGAGAGAGACACATAGTTTGATTGCCTCCCATACACACCCCGACTGGGGCCAGGGATCAAAACTACAACGCAGCTATATGCCCTTCACCAGGCATCGAATCCAGGACCCTTTCAAATGCAGACTGACATTCTAACCTCTGAGAACACTGGCCAGGACAAGGAGACTGTCCTTTCTAACAGCCTTCCTTCTTGGTCACATCTCTACTTAACAAAAACAGCTTTCTCCTGCTTCCCAGGCTGAGAAATGGTGGTTTAGAACATGGTGTTAGTGAGGCTTTTTAATTGTTTTTCCCCTTTGTAACCAGCCTCTTCTATCATCACAGACTTCTCCTTGGCCTCAACCACCATCTGACCAAGTGTATGCTGTTGAGGGAAGGTGTGCCCAGAGCAGCGTAAATCCAATGCTCCTGAGGATAAAACCTCAAACACACCAGGTCTCAGCATTGGTGATCTCTGAGGAGAACAGAGCTGTGTGTGAAGCAGGTGGAGACATTGAAAGGACACTGACCATTTATTCAAAAGACATTTTGCTTTTTATTGACTTGATGTGATTAGTTCATTTTAGAATAAAGACCAGAAAATCCCGTTTTTCAAGCTTTCCAGCACCACTTACCAACTATTGATCCTTGAGGAATCTATTACCGCTTAGAGCATCAGTTTCCTCATCTACCAAATAATGGATACAGCAGCAAAGGTTCAGTTCTCAAAACATGTTCTCATTCTCTCTCCCTCTCTTTCTCTCTCCTTTTCCCTCTCTCACCTCTTATTCTCCCACCTTTTTCTCTCTCCTTTATTTTGATACCTATAATATTTTAATTTCAATAGTATTATATATGTATATAAAAGCCTAAGTGACTGTTCTGCTGGTTCACCATTTAACTGGTCACTATGTTGTGCCCTGACCACCAGGGGTCAGGCACTCAACGTAGTAGCTGACCCGTGGTGGTCAGTGCACTCCCACAGCAGGAGCACTGCTCAGCTGACCTACAAGAGCCAAATGCACGGTTCACGGCTGGCTACTGCCATAGCCCAGAGTCTGCAGCAGAGCAGTAGCAAGCCTATCAGGCAGCATCAGCAGCAGGTGCAGTGGGGCCAGAATGAGCATACGTGGCAGGCAAGAGTGGCAGGTGGCATTGGACTGCCAGTTTTGGCTCGATCTCCACAGGCCAAGCTGAGGGACCCCACCAGTGCACGAATCTGTGCACCAGGCCTCTAGTAGGATAATAATATACTTACAGGATTGTAACGAGCATCTTGAGGAAAGGAGTTTAAATTTTAAAGTCTATGATATTGACCTAAACTCCTTGGACTGAAACAGCTTGCTTTAGGACAGCTCAGGGTTAGTTCTTGTTTTGCTTTGTTCTATTTTGCTTTATCTAGAATCTGTGCTTCTATATATCAGCTCTAGATGGCAGTAATGTACCATGAAGACTTGTGGTGAACTAGGCAGCAAGCATCCTGCTAAGTTTCAAGTCTGGAGGCTGAGGAGCACCTTAAGGAAAATGTGAATGTGATCACTGGGTGCCAAGGCTCCCCTGACTCTCTGCCCTCAGGTCAGCTCACCACTGCTATCTCTTCAGGTCAAGCATATTGGAGGGAGGAAAGAAAGAAAGCCATAGGCACATGAGGACATTACATTAGGATGCAATGGAATAAGGTGAATTGATGGGGGTTTGTCCAAACTCTATCTTCCTATCTTCTAATTTACTTCTCTCTCATGGTCTCTCTCTCTCTCTCTCTCTCTCTCTCTCTCTCTCTCTCTCTCTCTCTCTCTCTCTCTCTTTTCTTTCTCTCTCTCTCTCTACACACACACACACACACACACACACACACACACACACACAAACGAGTTTAAGGAGAGAGTGCATTTGGTGGAGAATTTATTTCATCCCCTGGGATTTATTTACAACAGTGTATATCTTAGTGTCCTTATATGTAGAATGGTGCTAATATTTTCCAACTTCAATGGGCTATTATAAGGATTAAGTTAGTTAACATAAGCAGAGAACGAGTTGCCTGACACATAGTAAAATACATGTTAGCTATTACTGTGCCTAGTCTTACCCAAAGGTTTTTGCGTTTAATTGAAGAAATAGAAAGTGATCTGGGCATGACCACTTAGGGGAAGAATAAAAGGGGTGCAGAGAAACACACACACACACACACACACACACAGTCTCTCCAGAATATAGACTGTGGAGCCACATGAAGAAGAATGTCTAGGTACTTTTAAAGGAAAATGAAAGCCTGAAAGAGGTGGTAAGGTCTTAGCTTGTTTACCTTAAGAATGGATGGAGAGTTAACATTTTTCATGGTGAAGAAAGAGAAGCGCATTCATGAGCTGTTGTAGGAGCAGCCTTGTTTTCAGGAAGTAACTTTCTCTAATATGTGAAGTCCTAGGATGGATGTCAGTATGGCGGTAGCACAGCCCATCCCAGTTACACAGCCTGAGCACACTGCTGTCCTGAGTCGTGGGTGTGTCCTGAATGCAGATGGGCTGTGTAGGGTCAGAACAAATGTGCTCTTTTGGAGAATCTGACTTAGTGCTCACATATGTTGATGTTCATGTCCTATTACGAGACAATCAAATATGCGGAAATCCAACATTACAAATCAAAAATGCGTTGGTTAATTTCTCAAGTAGGAAAAAAAATTCTACACTTCACAAAATAATTCACCATTGGACTCCTATAAATCACTGATGTTGTTATGAGTACATTCCCACATCACCTCTCTGAACCGTATTTGGGGTCATATCTGAGGAGCTTCGTCTTTCAAGCAGATTCATTAGAAAGCAAAGCAGTTTATAAAAAGCATTCATTTCCTTTAAGATTAGTCAGTAGGTGTAACCCATGTAGACACACCTTGGATGTGTATGTATAGCTGATGAATTGTCAACAGTATGAAAAGCGTTTCAGACCATTCTTCAATTCTCTTCCACTTCTCCTCCTTTTACAACACCTTCTCCTCCTCTTCATTACTATTATCATTATTGTTAAGACCTTCTTTTCTTGTCAATTTTTTGGGAGTGTTTTTTTTTGTTTGTTTGTTTTTTTACAGTTTACATCCAATGTTATTTTGTACTATTGTAGTTTCGGTGTGTGGCAAGGTCTTTATTTATTTTGCAAAGGTTTTCACCTCTTTGTAAAAAGGGAAGACTGAATTTTTAAAAATACATCTTTATTCTATTTATTTATTTATTTATTTATTTATTTATTTATTTATTTCAGAGAGGAATGCAGAGGGAGAGATAAAAACATCAATGATGAGAGAAAATCATTGATCAGCTGCTTCCTGAATCCCCCCTCTCACTGGCGATCAAGCCCACAACCTAGGCATATACTGTAGATCGGAATCAAACCTGGGACCCACAAGCCGCTGCTCTATCCACTGACCAAAACTGGCTAGGGCTGAAGACCGAATTTAACACATATTCCAGCAGGTGTTATTTTGCTATGAAAGCAGATTGGAGGGCTGAAAGGCCATTTGCTCACAGGATATTCCTGCACCTGAGCTGGTTTTATTAAAGGACACCACAATTCCAGGGTCTAGACTGCTTCACAACTGCAAAAACAAGAGCTGAAAAATGGTACTTGTACTCTTTCTGAGATGTTAATGTCAGGAACCATTTTTTAAATTAAATCAGTGACCAAATTAACAAATATTTCCCATCATAACCTTTACACTCAGCAGGAGATAAGGACCATGATGTCAGCCTCTGATTTAGAAAACGTTTCCTTCCAAGATTGTCATAAATGCCATAAGAAAAAAAAAAGCATCACTGCCAAGCTAAAAAAAAAATAAAATCATAAAAGCTTTTAGAACTCAATTTAATTTGTGTTTATTATTTAAAATAAAACAAACAAACAAAAACAGCCATGGCTGGTTTGACTCAGTGAATAGTGTTGGCCTGCAGACTGAAGGGTCCCAGGTTCCATTCAAGTCAAGGGCACATGCGGGGATTGCAAGCTTGATCCGCAGTACAGGGCATACGGGAGGCAACCAATCAATGATTCTCTCTCATCATTAATGTTTCTATCTCCCTCTCCCTCTCCCTTCCTCTCTGAAATAAAAAATATATATATTTTAAAAAGACATTTTGGAGGCCACCAACCTGCCTTTAGAGGTTAGCCAATTAACATGAAAAGCTAGAAAATTATTATCTCATGATTGTTATGTAGTTTGTTAGCTGAGGCATATGTTTATGTTTTGCTTTTTTGATCATGTGGAGACAGTATTCCTTCTGTTTACTTTGTATCCTCACTGGTTCTAGGCATGTGCTGGGCAGGTCTGTAAATAGATGCTTATTGATCTGACTTGCTGAACATCTAAAAGTCCTTTGCATATGAGAACATCCTATATAATAGTTAATATGCTAATTAGACAAAATAGCTGAACGCCTGTACAGACGCCTTTCAGATGAAGCCGGGGCTGCGAGGGCCAGCCAAGGCTGTAAGGGGACTGAGCCCTTTGCCCAAATTTCATGTATAGGGCCTCTAGTTATATTAGAAAGAGCTCTGGTCTGAGCTTTTTAAGATCCCAGCCTAAACCAGGTTCTGTGACCCTATGACTTTATTATATAAATCACTTCTTCTCTCAGGACCTTATTATATAAATCACTTCTTCTCTCAGGACCTCAAATATCCCAAATGAAAAAACAAGGTTTACATTTTCCTCTTCCTTGACCCTATGAGGAACCTATAAAATTATCTGAAGCAATAATAACATTATGGCATCTCATCTTTTTATGATTTCTAAAGTACTTACAATATATATATATACCCTATCACATTTGGTCCTCATAAAAGCATTATAAAGTAGAAGGCACTATATTAATGGAGAGTATGTATGGATAGGCTGAGTGGTTTCCAAATCTTCAAGACCTGGTTCCTTTGTGCTGAACAATCCCTTGTTCAATTTCTCCCTCTCTTTTCCCACTTCACTATCAGCAATCAGGAGAAACCAGGCCAGACCTTCAACACT